TTGTAATAACGAATAAAAATTGTGCAATTTGATTGGGTAATAATCACGTGTAGATTTACAAATCGATCTAAAAACTAACCAATCAGACAAATTTCTGTCTATGAACATAAGTCTACATTGGATTTGTAAATCTATATCGATATAGAAATTTTATATAACATTATATAACATTATATAACGATCGATAACTTTATAAAACTACCTATAGGGATAGGGATGGGTCTATGTCAAAATCCTGAAATTTAATTGTCGCGTCGTGTGATGCCGGGTTCCAGTATTTAAATCCGCTTATGATTAGTAATAATAATGATTACTAATCATAGGTGGGTTTGAATACTAACCCAACATTACGCGACGCGACAATTAAATTTCAGAATTTTGACTTTCGGGATTTTGATATAGATCCGATATAGGGGGGTGGTTTCGGTTACAAACGGTTACGATTATTCATAGCCGATTTGCTAAATATTAAGATGATTTTTTATTTTTGAGCTTTTGATTAAAGTTGTTCATAATTAAATTTTGTTAATTCCATCTTATAAGTGGAAAGAACGATATTTTCTCTGGAACGCAGAATTTTAAAATTTGTAATGTCATAACCGGTTACATTCTAAAATTCCGAGTTCTAGAGAAAGTATCGTTTTTTTCACTTATAAGATGGGATGGACAGAATTTAATTATGAACGACTTTAATTAAAAGCTCAAAAATAAAATCATCCTAATATTTAGCAAATCGGCTATGAATAATCGTAACCGTTTGTAACCGAACCCATCCCTAATCCGTTCACTTTATATATACAGTATATTCCATCAAATTTTCCTGCTAATTAATCGTTACTTTTTTAGTCTCTTCTTATCCAAGTTAATTTAAGCAAATGTAATAATTAAAATCTCGGCATCTATCATCCAGTTTTTATCAACTGTGAATATTGCAATTATCTATTAATTGAATTACTTGAAATAATTTGATTTCTCATTAATTTTTCATGCTTATTTAATCAGTGGCTATCTCACAAATCTTTTTTTATCCAAGTTGATTTAGCAGATGAGTGTCATTATTATTTAATAGAAATGTTTAAAGTAATATATACATCTTAACACTTTTTCTATGTGTACTGGTTAGTTAATTAATATTCTCAGGCATCTTAACCAATGTGTCAAAATGTGTTAGAAATTAAACTTTAATTAGTGGAAAATACTTTAACCAAATGAAACATTTATCATTAAGATAAATAACAGATAATATCAGTGTTTATTACATTAAGAAAAATTTTAATAGTAAAAGATGACCAGTGAGTATATTATTCTGGCCAAAACTTATGTCTCAAATCGTCTTGTTTTTTTTGTGCCAGCTTATTAAAATTTTATAACTATTAGAGTAAATAGTGTTATTATTCAGGTGATTTGCTATACTGACATTAACGTATTACTATTATCATCTCTCTTTTTTTTTTACTATTGAAAAATAGACTTAAAGAGCAATAATTCTTTTAGCGACTCTTTACATTATTATCTTTAACAAATTGAATATAATATATGGAAATTGGTAATAGATAAATAAGTAATAAAGACAAAATTTTTGTTGACATTTAACGAACCATATATATAATCAATTATTATATTACATATTCGAGCTAACCCATATTAAAACATCCTTATTATGTTTAATCTAGATGGGTGTTGCTTTGCGCCACCCATCAAACTAGTACTATTCTATAAAATACAAATAACTGCTGTATTCCTAAATCTTGAATTTAAAACTTTCTATTTAATAGTTTACAAATTTTTTTCACGACTTTTTAACGTAAATATGTTATTCGGATCAATTCTTAATGATTTATTTAAATCTGTTGACTTCGTATCTGTTCATCATCCTATAAGTTTCTCCATGACATGCCAATGCTTCAATGCTTCTATATATTTGGATTAATTTTTAATGATCTAGTGAAATCTGCTAATGATTCTTTATAACATTTCAATATGTAATAAGTTTCATCACGGCTTTTTAATACAAATGCATTACTTGATTCAATTTATAATGATTTATTTAATGACTCTTTGTATCTGTTTATCTTGCGATAGTTACTCCACGGTACATTAAAGATTTGAGATTACGCAAAATTTCCAGCCGTATTAAAGCATTTAGTATACTATAATTTAAAAAAATTCGAAGATTAGCATATTAGATCATTAGAATAATGCGGAAGCATCAGCATAAGTTACGTGTAATTTACAATAAGTATCTTAGTGTAAATTTGCAAAATCATGTAGGTTATTATGTTAGTTAAAATGTAAATTACAAAATTTGTCAACCATAAGTATCAATTATGGTAAATATTGACTTCTCGTTTTTTGTAAGCTTATAGAATAAATTTCATTATCACAGTTAGCCAAGCATCTTTATGAGGTCCAACGCCTTGTGCAATATCATCTGGGCCTAAAGCTAATGCATTTAATGGAGGATATTTAACAATCTGAGATATGTATAGTACAGTCAGACCTCTCTAAATGCACGTCGTCGAGACCAGCTCTAGCACGTGCATTTAGAGAGGTATTGCATTTATGGAGGTAAAAATCTATAGATGTAATATTAGTTGGGCCCAAAAGAAGACGTGCATTTAGAGAGGTGCTGCATTTAGGAGGGTGCATTTAGGGGGGTCTGACTGTATTTACGTTTCGTCATAATTAATTTATACTAGAGTTAAACATTCATTCACCTTTAAACGATTCATCTGTTTATTAGGAGGATCCAGAAACTTATATAAAGAGTCGGAAGGAAGGCCTAAACTTGATGCTATTAATTGCATAAATTCTAAGAAAAATCAGACATCTCTTTAATATATTCCAACAAGGTTTCTTTGACGTATTTCTCATCAGGCCATTGATTAGGTCCCCTAAGTCTTCTATATAAAGGTTCTCCTTTTTTCCAAGTGCAAG